AGCAGGAGCAGGAGCAGGAACAGGAGCAGCGGCAGTAGCAGCAGTAGCAGTAGCAGTAGCAGTAGCAGTAGCAAAACACTTTCTGCGTCAGTGTAGGCCCATGGGAAACCGCATCAGGACTTAACTCTGTGCAGCCACGACCGTCTTAGCACGAACCCTTAACTGTAGACAACACCTCAATTTACCGCCCCGAGACTCAAGAAACAACGATACCGTGTGCACGTTTGCAGGATATAGACTTTAAGGCCACGAACTTCGAAGTGTGGTGTTTGCACCCTGAAGCCTCAGGTGCCCAAAAATCAACCCTGGACCCTGAAACCCCAAAAAGCCTCAACCCCAAAACAGAAATCGAAAGCCCAAAAGCCCTAAAGATGGGAGCGCTTGAAAGTATACCGTCGGGATTTGGGGGCATTAGGGTTTTTGAGGCTTCAGGGATTTGGGCTTAGGGCTTATAAGGGGGAGTTTAATCCTACATCCCTTACCTGTCAGAATCACGAGAGTTTAAGGGCTTCTAGAGTTTATGGTTTGGGGTTTGTGCGGTTTCGGGTTTAGGGTGGCTGAGGACCTCGATTGAAATTCATCGGTTGTGGGTTTAGGGTTGAGATCTAAACGCGTGGGGTTGCTTCATTGGGATGGATGGGTCTAGGCTTTTTACTGCTGGCTGTTCCTTAAACCTCGTAGATACATGGCTTACAGTATCATGCTATATATATACACACATTAATATATAAATATACATACTAATATAATATTCATATATATATACCTATAAATAAATAAATAAACAAACAAATAAATAAATAAATAAATATATATATGTATATATAGATAACAGTGATTTTACGGTGAACTTGGGGCTGAACTTTCGGGCCGCACCCGGCAGTGCCTGAGCTGTGCCGCCGCCTGCAGCTCTCGCTGCTTGCGCGCCTCCCAGCGATTCTTCGGGGCGAAAGAAAGACCAAAGGCCACAAGGACAAACGTGTAGGGTTTAGGGCTTATAGGGTTTAGGACTTAGGGTTTAGGGTAGTAGGGATCCCACAGTTAAGGTGGGTCTTGTACACCCAATGGAAGATCCGCACTTTCACATCTGCACAGCTGGAAGCTTGTACCGTGTACCCCAGCTACACATCCTAAAACGTCTGGCTGGAGAGAACAGCTGTCCGACTCATAGATGTCACATTCATCTACTGGCGAGGGAACCTGAAACTACGGGTCAGGATTTAGGGTGGTTTACGTTGAAACCGGCAAGTGCACACAAGACAGGAGCTGTTTCCTTTTCTGCAAACTGCATGCCTCCGGTTTAAGAACCCTCTAACAGAGCCCTAGCTGAGTTACTGAGGCGTCCGAATCAACCGGCGAGACATGGACAATTTAGGAAAGCGCTAGCCGGGCATCACGAAGCCTCCGACCCGAAGGATTCTTGTTTCCTTATGTGTGATGAAGCCAAATCTGCCCTACTGGCACCACTGTGACACGGCGAACTTGTACTGCATCTTAGCCCGGGCATTCATCACGTGCAGGTTCAGTCTCACCACCGGAGGCGTCACCAATCCCACCTCCCTGGTCACCTCCCTCATCCTCATCCATCACCAAACTCCCCTCGCGCGCATCTCGACCAGCCACATCTACAGGGTTTAGGGTTTAGGTTTTAATTTGCACACAGTAAGCCAATAATATTACACATCGGGCTCGCCTCGCAAAAGGAGGTCCCTGCACAGATCTTCAACTCCAAGACCCCTGAACCCTCGACCCCGGAGGCCACGAACCCCAGGACCCTCAGCTCTGAACTCCTGAATCCACAAACCAGAAACGCTCCATGACACCCCTGCCTAGAGCCTGCGTTGTGGGGATCCCCACTGAACCCCTAAACCCTGAAACAAACTCCTCAGCAGGAAGGTTGGGCCTTCGGGTCTTAGGGTTCAGAGTGAGTGAAGGTCTTTAGCTTTCAGGGTTCCTGCAGTTCCGTGTTTAAGGGTTCCTTTTAAGTGCTCTGCCGGGGACTACATGAAGTGTACTGCAGGGGTCGACGGCTTGATTGGCTTTGGGGCTTAAGTGCTGCGAGTGCAGGCTCCTTGCTTTGAGGCTTGGGTTTAGGGTTTAGGGTTTATAAAGGGTTTAGGGTTTATGGTGAATAGGTGGGTCAAAGGTAAGACCTCGCCAAAGGCTTTCCTACTACAGTTGCTACAGGAGCCTTAAGGATTACAGTGCAGCTTTGAAATTCTACTAGAGTACAAACCCAAGGCATGCATAACTATTGGTTTGCGGGCCCCTATATGAAACCCTGGAATCACCACTATCAAACACACCAAAAACCCTGACCCCTACAGAAGGATCACTTCTCCGGGCCCTAAGCGCTAAACCCTACACCTAAAGCCTAGCAGACACGAACACTGTCGGACCTGGTTCAATGCCTTCAACGTGGAGCCCTCGAACTCAGCTTGCAGGCCTGTCAAGAGGCCGTAAGGTTGTAGCGAGGCTCTGTAAAGGGTTCCGAAATAAAGATTTTGTAGGGTTTGCTAAAAAGTCATATCGGGCTGCTGTAAAGCCCTGCCTTAGTAGGTCGTTTTGGGGTTTCGGATGTTCGGGCTTAGGGTATTAGGGTATTCTGGTCGGTTCTTGGTTTGGCTGTGGGCTTCAAGCATGAAGGGCTACTTGAAGGCTCGGGGCACTGAGCAAAGTGATACAGGCGCCTCACTGATTAGAATAGGATTTTAGATGCTTTGGGATATATTACATTATATTATATTACAGTATATTATATTATGTTATATGTTTAGTTAGAAGAGGGAAGCCTAAGGAATCCAACTCCGAAGCGCATGTCCCCAATTGCCCTGACCCCTGCGTCAGCTTGAGACTAGAACTATGATTCCTCAACCGCTGTCAGGATACTTTTTCCCCCAAATACAACCCACAAACTTCATCCCGTGGTCTGAAACACCAGAACCTTAAACCCTAAATGAACAACCAGAACATGAAGCCCTCAACCCTAGATGGAAAAGCAGAACCCGAAACCCTAAACCCTAAAACAGAACCCTAAACCCTAGACCCTATAAGACCCTAAGCCCTATGTAAACCAGAACACCCTTGGAGACGACCGTGCCAGCAGCTGTCTGGCCTCCCCTCTCCTTGAAGCATCGCGTGACACCGCAGAGAAAGCGATACCGAAGGACGACGCCGTCCACGTGGTAGTATCTCGCCGATCTTTCTGCGTCCTGTCAGCAGAGACACTGCGATCAGAATCCGACGGCTAATGGGTTTAGGGTTTAAGGTGATAGTTTCTGGGGAGGGAAATCCTAAACCTAAACTCTAAAACCTGTGACATAAGCGAAGCAGGCCTAATCTGGGTTCTTAAAAGTCAGAATAGGGTCTTGGGTGGTATGTTTACATTTAATATAGCTATACACGGACTACAGGGGGGTACAACGTTATGAATTATTTAGAACTCGGACCACTGCACCGGGAAGGTGCGAGAGTCTGCTGAGAGCTTCAGCCCTGACCCCGGATGTTAAGCAAACTTAAAAAACAAGAGCAAACAACCCTTCAGGGGATAAGTCGGGCTTAGAATGTCCGGCTTACTCAGCGCATGTTCTTGAGCAGGTTTTTGAGCTATTGACAGTTTGCACGTGAGGACTCTGTCGGCGGGGCGTGTTCCGATTGAGAACCTCTTGTAGTCCACGGACACCAAGACGTACCTTCGACACGTAGTGTTTGGTGGCATCCTCTTTGAACAACTAATTACCCGCCTCCTGAGCCTTACAAAGCTGAGATTGTCTGCGATTTGTAAAGCTTCTTCCGGTATGAAGGCGCAGCGCTCATTAGCTCATGGCATGCGCATTATTTGGCGCGGGAGGGGCAAGTTATCTGGTCACGATTTCTATTCTTTATTCAGATCTTACGTAGGGTACCCCGTTTCCTGAACACTGAAGCTCACACATGGCATGAGGATTGTGCAAAGACTATCAACTTCTAGATTAGCCTCAAACCTGACAGGCAAACGCAGGCTTCTAGCGTAGAAAATGTGTGCTGATGCAAAACTTGCCTCCGCTGAAGAAAGCTCGTAATCACAATCGGGGAAGACCGCTTCAGGTTGCGAAGATTTGCGAAGCATGTTTTACATTGTTGTAGTTTAACGGAAGATGAAGTCCACGGACCCCCCCCCCCCCAGTGCCACATGGGAGGAGTTTGAACCCATGGCAGGCAAGTCACAGTAATCAGAAAACCTTCCGTGAGCCCTCTCATGTTTCAAGAATGGCTGTCGCTATTGTCCTCGATCACGTCGTCCACCTCTGGCCACAGGCGATCGTCGTGCCTGTTGATGAAGCCATAGCCTTAGGATTTGGGGCGCTTGGGGTCTGAACCCTGGGACACTTAGGGACTTAGGGTTAGGGCCTTGCAACGCTCTTGAAGCTATCATGGAACCGGACCAGGGACAAAGTACCTCCGACATACATGAGCGGCTAGACGGGTTTAGGTTCCAGAGTTCCAGATTCGTTGTGGGATGTAGATGGGATCTAGGGCCATTGGGGGGAAGCATGGGAGACTTAAAAAAAGCTTGTTCGATGACGAAATCCTAAGACATAAACACCTAGACCCCAAACCCTACACCAGCTGTCCGTGATAAGCGTGCTTCAACGGGGTGATACGCCGAGGTGTCTCCTACTTCTCCCAAAACCCTGCGCCTAGAAAAGGTTTAGGGTTTAGGAATTTTGCGACAGAGCCATGTTGAAAACCCGATGAGTTGAACAGTTGGGCAGTGCAGAACCAAGATAGTGGTAATTTCTCGCAAAGACAATCGAAACTGGTCGATGCGTGTGGCTTCTGCACTTCAGCTGCAATCCGAAGCACAATTAGATTAAAGATAAACTCCAATTCCTCTCAAACCTCCATAAGCCCATAAGCACCAAAGCCAAAACAAAAAGGCGCTGCAAACCCCAAAAGCCCCTTGGCACTCTTTGCAAGCCCGGTATAAAACCACACAGCCCCTCATCCAAAACAAAAACCGGCGGCTGAGGCAGCAGCAGAAGCCGTTGATCTCGCCACATCTTCTCGAGACTCCATCAATAGGCATAGAGCAGGGGTTCCTCGGCTTCTGAGGCTCCTGGGGTTGGTAGGATTTATTAAGGGGGTTTGGGGCTTTCCGTGCTTCTGATTTTTTTGGGTGTGGTTTGAGCAGCTCGAGATTTTTCTGGGTTCAGGGGGAGGGTTCTCAGGTTCATGAAGGGCTCTACGGTTTAGAGCTTCGGGATCCTCGGGGTGCCGCTGTCTTGGCAACTGGGGCTTCGCATGGTGGGCCTACGGGGTTTGCAGAAGTTACAGAATACCATAACTCCCAAACCCCAGACCCTAATACCCTGATAGCCGAACGCCTAAACCTCAAGATCGACCGTGTCGGGTTTGCTAGCTGCACCAGAAAGCCAAATTTTGACTCCCAGGCTTACACCGAACCCCTGCACTACACCCCGACAAAACCCTAAACCACCCTGGTACCCGGATAACCTTAGTAGGCCATGGCTCGACGAGGCGTTCAGGCCCCAGATGAAGCTCTTGTGCTCCTTCATGAGGCCTTACGCGCTTGAAGCATCAGAGGACTTCGGTGCCTTAGGGCTGAGGGGCTTTAGCGTGTAGGGCTTTAGGGCTCCGGATCCAGGATGTGCTTTGTGTAAAATATAATAATAAGCCACTCTTACCTTACTGAAAAAGCTACTTACAATAAAGCACTGTTTTAGGGTACCCAGAAAAAGCACAGGGCTCTAGCAACAGCAAGTACTTTGAGAGCTCACTCCTCCTGAACTAGGCCCTTCTGGCTTACGTGTTTAACCCCTTCTATAGGGGCCTTAATAATTAGAATAAGGTTTTGGGGCCCATTATACTCTAATTACAACAAGGAACCCCAAAATAGTATTGGCAATTCTTTAGGCCCCTACATTATAGAAGACCCTTGGTAAGGGCCCTGTCTCCTATGATCCTTCAGGAAAGCTCTCAGGATGCATTGCAACGATGAGAAAAAGCCGGAACCCTGAGTCCCTTCTTCGGATCCGAAGGCAAAGGCTGATAAATATATATATATATAATAGATATAAATATGTATATGTATATGTATATATATATATGTATATATATATATTATATATATATTATATATATATTATATATAATATATATATATATATGCGAGAGAGACCTCTTGCGACAGCCTATCTTTTTGTGGGGCTTGAGGGATACACTCTAAACCCGACCCCGGTAACAACAATCTACAGCCCAAATGCCCTCAACCCGCGCCCGGCACCGAAGCCCTCAACCTAGACCCCAAAACTTCAGAATCCCGAGCCCGATTTAGGGTTTAGGGCTTAGGGCTTAGGGTCTAGGGCGTACGGTTTAGGGCTTAGGGTTGAAAGTTGATAAACCTCAAGCATCCGAGCGATGAAGGCCTGGAGCATATAACCCAGTCGGGGCCCAAAACGATGGCAAAAGCCAAGGCCTTTAGAAAGGTTTAGAGATTCAGGGTTTTTACGGGGTAGGAGAAATCTCTTGTACACCTTTAAGGAAATGATCTCACAATTGAGCTTTTCCCTGATAATCTGCTAGCACTAAAAACATCCCTAAGTTTAGGTGTTCTCGGTCGCCTCATACGCGGTGGATCGGAATATTTAGCAACAGTACCCCCTTATAATCCTCCATCTCTACATATGTAAACATTTTATATATAATGTCTACACACATACATATCTAATGTCTGTTTGTTTGTCTGTAATTGGGTATATTGTAAGTATAGGATAACATACAGCAAAAAGATATTCTCAATATTCATGCCCGTACACTACCGGACTCACTACCCCTCGTCATGCCAGGATCCCGGCCGAACGCATGGAAGATGAGGTTCTCGAAGCAATCTTCCGGAAGCGGCATGCACTTCCTGGGACCTGGGTCAGCGTTTAGGGTTTAGGAGTTTAGACTCGCTTAGACGCCGCGTCTGCGTATGGCTGTGGGTGCGGATAAGTGGAGAATGTCAATCGGCAAGGGTAAAGCCGAAAAGCCACAAAAGTAGAAATGCAGCGTTGTATAAGCTTTCCAGCGAAAAGCAGAAACCCTGCAAAGACGACAAGCGCCGAAAAGTCAAGAACGGTGTCAACAAGTCTAAAACAAAGCACCCAAAGTCGAAATAACATGCAAACCAGCTGTCGAGAACTAGCGAAAAGGTGAGACGCGAAAACTCAACAAGTCTGGTCAACCAGGACTGAGGCAATGCTTCTGCGGAGTTCGCCTGACCCCAAAACCCAACCTAAATATCTGCACTGCTAGATACCTATACGCGGCCTGGGGTTGAACCCGGAACAGCAACTTTTACCCTTTGGTGATTCCCTAAGAGTTGCCCCAAACCAGAAAGATGTGCCAACATGTCTAGAGTCTCCTGTGTTTCAAGTGGTTTTCAGGATGCCCAAGCTCATGAAAAATCGCTGCAATTTAGTGGCTGGAAACTTCTTTGCTCCTTCCGCCTGAACCCCGTACCCTTAACACCCTATTACAAGAAGCACAGTTCGGGACCCCTAGGGTCCTTGAGGTGTGCAGCTTTCATTCCCTCGGCTTAGATGCTAAAGATCGAGGGTAACCCAGAACAAGCTTTCCACCTGAAAAGAAGTGGCGCCTGCGAAGGAAGGCCACCCACTACTCGGACAAAATTTAGGTTGCATCGCCTGGTGTGCAAAACTTTGCAGAGCCCCTTAGCCCCAAAGCGAAAAACCCTTAGAATCGAAACATACCTAAACACTTCAAACCGCATGACGCTACGGCTAGTTGATCCCTGGAACTCCTCCGATAGTCTCGCATATGAGAATCACCGAATCTCGCGTAAGCCTGCTGTTGCCCTTCTTTCCGCCAGGTTTACCGGCAAACTTACGGCTGAGCGCTTCGCAGTGTTACTTATACAACTGAACAACTGCCCCTGGCTTCCGAATGGCTTTATGAACCAGACCAGGGTGTTAAAAAAACCCTCAGCCCTAAACCCCAAACCTTAAGCCCAAAGTGCCCCAACATCACTCTCCGGTGCCGAAGGGCTGTGGCACCAGTTGATTCCCTCGAGGTCGTCATCGAGACTTACGATATATGTACCTGGCACCCAGATGCGGAGCCACAACACGTTTCGCTAAGATTCATAGGTTCTGATGACGGTCTCAAAGGGTTTTGCAAGGCTTGTTAGGACTCGGACTTTAGACTTTACAACTATCCCAACAGAAAGCAAACCTGAACCATAGTTAATGACACCGAGAACCCCAAGAAGCCGAAACTCGCAGAACCCTCGACCCTGAAGCCCTAAGGTTTAAACGCTCAGGCACCAAGGCTCTTAAAAAAGCCCTAGTACACTAACAAAAAAATGTCATATCCTTACTGTCCTCACAGACCCAAAGCAAGCCTTAACAGATCGCGACTCTGGACCCACAATATAGAAGCCTGAATAATCACTCGAATTGTTCCTCATGCCTTCTTATTACAGGCATTTTGCTATACTATACCCCCAAACCTACTGAGATCACTATATGAGTTCCCTGCATTAGCCGGATGCCGGCTTACGGATGTTTCTCGGGCCTCGGCGATGATTAGCGACTTTACGAAAGTTGAGTCCATAGCCCATAGCAAGCGCAGAACACGCCGTACACCAAACCCGCAACACCCGGAACCATGACGACAGAACGCCTGGCGGGTAGGACTTGGCGATCTTCACGCGCTGGGCTCGTATTCCCTGCCTGGGCGCGCCGAGCTTGGAGTTTAGGATGTAGGGCTCCGGGGGTGCCCAGAAGGGTATGTAGGGTTTAGGGCTTAGGGTTAGGGCTTAGGATTTAGGAGCTAGGTTTTAGGATTTAGGGTTTAGGCTGCCATTAGGGCGAAAGAGGCTTAGTGGCTTGCTAGTGTCTCGACTCTTCAATATCTGATGATCGGTGCAATTCTGTTTGGTGCCAAGGAAGAGAGGAGATTGCGTTGCCGCCGTTTGAATCGCATTCGGGTGGCTTCAAGATGAGGGGCGATTTGAATGCTTGAGCTCTTGCAGGGCTCTTGGGCCATTGGGGCTTGCTATGGGTTACCCATCGCTTCCTAGTCTTGGCACTGATGTTGCTACAACTGTATAAATTCTTACAGAACCCATGTACGTACAGCCCTCCAAAAGACCTCATAATCCCAACCCCAGTTGGCAGCCTCTGCCTTACAGAACCCTTACAAAGCGCTGGAGCAAGTATGGCGATGAAAGACCCAATGAACATCCTGTCAATTTCTCGCCTAAGGTACCCCTTAAAAGAACACTGTTTGAGAACCCTTATACACCCCACACTCTAAACCCTAAGCCCTTACAGGGACAACTTGGCATCCCGCACCCCGACCCTGATCTCCACATGTTCCCACTTTGTGGATTGCAGGGCGGCCTCAACGCATCGATTTCTGCAAACTCGGTGTCTCTTTACAGGCTTCTTAACGGGCTTTCTAGGGTCTACAAGACAGTCTATAACGGCACGCAAAAGGGGTTTTAGGGCTTATAATGTCAGGTTTTTAGGGTTCGGGGCTCAGCTTGCAGATTTCGGTTTGAGATACTGCGGTTGTTGGGTTTGTAGCGTCAGGTCCCGTTGCAGGGCTCAGAATTCAAGGTTTGGCATTTAGGCACTCAGGCTCTTTCGGCTTTGAGGTTTGATGTAACTATGTAACTATAGGGAAACCGAACTCGGAAGCTCAAGGCCCTAGGGCGACGGGACATTTGCCGGTACAGGCGAAACAGAAGGCCGGTGCGGGGCAGCCGCAGGAAGCAGGGACGTCCCTAACAAAAGAAAGGCAGGGGAGGATCCCTGAGGAGAGGCTGGCAAGGAAGGCAGGAAAGGGGAGGAACCAGACTACCCTGGCTGTATAGGACAGGCTAACATTAAAGAGTTTGGGTTTGGGGTTTTGGTTTGGTTTAGGCGCACTCGCGTCAGCATCTCAACACCTTTTTTCAGCTCCACGCGACCATTGCCGTGATCTCTGCTGGTGATTCTTTCGCATTTTGTCACGTGCCCTTGTTTGGGTTGTTTGGTATGTCTGTTCGTTCGGCGTTCTTTCCTTTTAGGGAGAAGAATTCCAAGGCATGCTATCACCGGGCAATCGGCAAAATGTGCAAACGAATCAGCCTTTTAAGGCAAGGCCATTCTTCTCACGTGGCGCTGTTTCGGCGTCTTACCTGTTGGACGTCAGACGATTATAGAACGGCATGGTTGGCATGGGATCATTGACACATGTTCTGGAGAGGCGCCTCGCTGCTCTTCGGGGCTTTCTCCGTTGCTACTTCCTGTTGAGACACAAAGGTAGACCCCACGTCAGGCTGCAACTAACCCTAAAGCCTCAGCTCCAAGCGCACGAACTCTCTCAGTCCTGCTTCAAGCGCTTCCTCCTCATTTTCTGTTTCTTGGCTTTGTCGTCCTTCGGACTCAAGTCCTGGCAGGCGGAAGGCGGCTTCCTTGTCTGAAAGTCGTCTTGACCACGCCTGTGGCAGTCCAGTCCTCCTCGATTGTCGCTGGCCTGTGTGACCCAGGGGCACTCCTGGTGGGGAAACCGGGCAGTTTCACATCAACCGCGTCATCTTCCTGGCACTTCTCCTGAGGGGGCTGGCACTTGCACACTTACAGTACAGCAGAGCAGAACCATTATATATAGGCTTGACAGGCACAGCACGGTCTTGGTCCTCCTTCTCCCCGCATTCCGGTTCTGACTCCGCGATCACGTCCTGGCAAGGCTCGATGCAAAGCTACGGCTAGTTTGCGAAGTTTTGCCCGTCTGTAGAGTCTTTAGCAGGATGGTGAACGAAGACGGTGTTAGGCATCAGTCCTCGTTCTGCTCAGCTTCTGCCATGGGCATCACGTCCTGACAGCGCCCATGAGAAAAGACTGACCTAATATGAGCGCTCACTTGCGCCGGTCCGCCTTCGACCCGGAGGCGGCGCCCACCATCGGCTTCTTGACCTTCTTGACCTTCTTGTTATTCTCCTGCACAGCAGGACCCACTATGAATCAAGTCGATGAAAAGCAAACCCCATAGGTGTTTACGCATGTCTGCTCTATAAGTCTATAAGCACAAAAGTCTCAAGCTGAGCATCGCTCGCTTGGAATGGTGCCTGGTACACAAACATTGCCTGATAAACAAAAAGGCTATAAGTTATAAGGTCGCTGTGAGTCATCACCAGAGACTACGCATACATTGTTGTTTGAAGGTACAGTGTGTTGCAGGGTCCTTCGCCAGTGCTGTGTCTGCGGCCGCAACCTCTGCCACTTTCTCAGGCCCTGCAGCCTCTTGGGCCTGGCTTGAGGGGCCTGGTGCCTTTGACTCCGGGATGACACAGAGCGATATCTCATCCACCTCCTGGGCCAAGGTCGGATGTCCCACTACTCGCACCAGGTCATTCGCGACGTCTGCATGAGTACCTTCGGGCTGTGTCGGCAGTGCCTTGTCGACTGACTGCACGACGTAGCCCGCAAACATGTACATGCTCAGGAAGGCGCTCAAGAACTGCAGCAACAGCTGACCTGCTGTTCGGGCATTAAACCAAGCCGAGTAGGCCGTGACGCAAGCGCAGAAGAAGGCTTCTGAGCGTTGTTCTTCCTCAGCTGTCAAGCATCCGTCACGAGAATTCACATCTACATCGTCCTAGATCGCATGCCCGATTCAGGACTACATATCTGGACATACACTTCATAGTGTGACTGGTGTGCCCTGTGCCCTATGATGAAGAGCTGGCCAGCTACTGCAAGAAAGTCCAGGACATCTTGGCGCAAGATTCCACGGCGCACACTGGCCTTCATCGCCTGCGATGTGATGGCAGGTTGATAGTGCCGATATTAACCTTGTTGGTACGGGCTTCATCTGAAGGGAGCCGCTTTGAGACAGCTTGTCCTGCCGCCACCACCACCACCACCACCGCCACCGCTCGTGCCGCCAGCGATCGAACAATCCTACCTGCATTCCTTGCACTACAACTGCTTCAATGAATAGCATGATCAGGAGGTTGGGGGTCTGCTAAATCTGCAGCGCGTTGGGGTGAATCGATTTTGTGACAGCTTAAGGCTGCTACTGCTTATGCAATGGAGCCTCTCGGAGCCGCCATGGTGGGATGAGGCACATCTGTTTGAAGCAGCTGCGAGCCACCACGAAAGTCATGACGAGTGCAGAGAAGTAGTCTTGAGAGAAGAGGAAAAGGCCTATGGTGTTTGCATCCAGGCCAACATCCAGCAGCATCAGGGCCACGCTCTGGTAAAGCCCCGGCGCTTGCCAGGGCCAGGCCCAGGCGGAAACTGGCTGGACCTTGATTCTCGGATGATCCAGATGCGCTGGGTTGAACTCTGCCTTTTCCTTCAGCAAGAGATTGTTGGCCATCGTCAGTTGCTCGGACCTTGAAGGTCCAGTATACCTCCGACACGCCATGCGCACAGGAAAACACTGCGCATACTGCGCGCAGCGGAAAAGTATCGCACCGAGCAGGCATAGCATGTACAGGCCCGCACTGGCAATGGCGACATTTCGCAGCAGAATCGCCAATTCGTCTCCAGTGACGTCCGGGCACCACCGAAACAAAAGGTGGTCCGACAGCCAGCTGTGTGCCACATCAGAGTATAAATACCAATCCATGAACAGCGGGTTGATCGCCCATCCTCCGCCCAACACCATGGTCATGAACAGAAATATTCCAATCAAAATGGCCGTGCGTGCGAAGGCAATCGCCTGGCTGGATAGATCGGTAGTCACCAGTGCACGCACCGGCACGCGGAGAATCTCCTTCGGTCCATGGAGGCATGCCGCAGGGAGGAAGTGGGCCAAAGTGACCAGTGGCACCCACCATTGTGGGTTCATCCAGAGCAACGCCCATCCGAAGATAAAAACTGTGACCAAGGCCTCCATCCACCGCCACAGCTTTCGGAGCATCAGCCAGCTCCCACCACAAGCTCGTGCCACCAACATCGTTGCACCTTCCAAGAATTCCTCGGCATTCTCAGCCCGTTGCTCTCGTTGCCCCCACCTGAAAGATTGGAGTCGCTGCTCGACAAGAACTGCAAAACCTGCAACTATACTAGCAATACTGGGAATGAGCCATGTCCTCCAGTCTTTCAAGGTCAATGCGAGGAGGTCAGCGTCCAGCAACCCCTTGAGAAAAGTTTGAGCATCTGGATCCTGCACTATGTCCACCAGACTTTTACCTAAGGCGCTTCGCCAGCGAGCATCACCGCCGCATTGGAGCCAAAGCTCCAACGACGGTTTCGACAGTAGGTAAGGATCCGAACATTCCAAGTGCACCGCAGCTTCCTGGAGACGGTGGTCATGCATTGCGGAGGTGCCGTTGCATCCTACATAGATCAGCGGGTTGCAGTCGGCATCTTGGGCACTTTCCAGAAAAGTGAAGGGGTTGCGGCCTGTCTTGTCGGTGGCCTGGGCTCCGTCTGGCCAGGCTGCCAGCAGCAGCTCTGCACTCCTTATGCTGCCAAAACGAACTGCCAAATGCAAGGGGGTCTCGCCCTGGTTGTTAACAGCCTGCGTACCGTCTGGCCAAGCTGCCAGCAGCAGCTCCACGATTTTCAACGAGATCGGCCGTTCTTCGTGCACGGGGTTTAACCCCACCAGTCTAAACTGGCCTCTCAGCACTGCTTGGTGCAAGGGAGTCCGGCCCCCATCCCACCGAACGTCGCTCACATTCACACGTCCCGAGGCGATCAGCTCCTGGACTGTATCTTGGTCACGGTCAAGCACTGCCTGCCGGAGCTCCTCATCGGTGGCTGCTGAGGCCAGGGCGGCGAAGGTGCACAGGAATAGCAGGGCACGGCAGGACGGGTGGATTCTTCTCTGGCAGCGCTCAAAATCCCAACGCTGGGGCTTTGCTCGGCTGCAGACTGCGAGCGGCATCCCTGAACGACGAAGCCCAAGACTTGGGGCAACCAGCTTGTCCTTCGAGCCTTGAGATGCGCACCGTTCATGCTCATCCTTGCATGTAATGTGTTTTGGAATCCTTTTGGCGCCTGAAACCTTATAATCGCTACAACAGGAATCCTAAACCAAAAACATGCAACAACGGAAAAAACAAAACACCTGAAACCCTAAACTCTGAGTTGGAATCTCCCCTGGCCTTGTAGGCCGGCTTTTCGCCGGGAGCCGTCCACAGCGTCACGCGCCCAGGCTCGATCCTAGGGCGTCTAGCATTTAGGTTTTGGGGTAGGGTTCCTTTTAGTGTGACGTCAAAGGAAAGGCTTCAGGCCTGCGGACAGGGCCAAAGCAGAGTGACATACCTGATGGGATGTTTTGGCTATGTTATGTGGTTCTTTTTGAGAGAGCAGGGGTCCACCAAGAGCCGCGATACATATGCCTTGGGCCTTGAACTCCAAACCTTGACCGACTCTGCCCCCCTGTGAAGGTAAGCGCCACAAAAAGACAAGCGAAAAGCAAACCATAAGTCCCCAAAACAAAGCTTTAGTAAACACTCTGTGAACAACTGTAAGAACCCGATAAGAATCCCATAACAAAGAAACTACAAACCACCAACCCCTAAACCCCCTCGGCCCTCAGGCACGTTCCATAGGAGCCTGCGGAGTGGTAAGCAAACCTCGAGCCGCGAAATCCCGAAGTCCTGCGAATGCTCAGCTCTACCCGGAAAGTTAGAGCCCTAAACCCCAAGGCCCTAAACTCGAAAATCCAAAAAACCCAAGCCCTAAAACATCTCAACACCCAAAAGCCCCTCTCAAACTCTGTAGAACCTCGTTCGATTCCCTACAGCACCAAAAACCGGAACCTCGGAACCCCGTATCAAGCGGAACAAGACCACGGTAAAGTCACATCAAACCACGTAACACCTTGAACCCTAAACCCTGAAACCCGAAAGCCCCGAACGGCCTCAAACCCCAGGACCGGTAAGCCCGAAGACTTTCAACTTAACGACCAAGGATCCCCTCAAACACTCATCAGCGTTTGGGGTTTATGAAACCCTAAACCCAAACTCCCCTCATTGCCGGAAACTTGGAGCCCCTGCTTCTGGTGCTCCAGGAACGCCAGGGTCTTTACCTGCCATGCTATCCTAGAAGGTCTATATACCTTATAGAAGCCTTATAGAAGCTCTACATACCCTAAACTCCCCACCTGTAGTTTCCTTTAAGTTATGGATGTGTTAAAGGCTACCTCGGAGAAGCCCTTCAGCCACGGTTTAGGGCTTAGGGCTTAAGGAGGCTACGCCCTTTCTATACGAGGTTGCTTTAACGGCTGCAAGAGGTCTTATGCCAGTCGCTTAAAGTAGGGTTTATGTCATGCTTAAGCTTGAATATCGTTTCAATATATCTTTAACAAGGCTGTCGGCAGGTTTTACAGGGCTTCAGGCTTGAAAAGGAGACGGGCAGGAGACCACCAAGAGAGCAGCAGCAAACACCAAGGTCACAATACCCTTGAGGTCGTGGGCTTCAAAGGGGAAGGTTCTGCCTAGTACGGGCTTGATGACCTTGTTCAACAACTTGGTGTTTGTTTCTGACCCTTTCCCACTGAGGGTGCGAATGCCAGTAGAACCCTGAACCCTAAACCCTCAAGCCTAAACCCTAAGCTAAAACCCTAAAGCCCTAAACCCTCAACCAAAGCTCTTAGCTTCTCGAGCCTTACAACTCCTACAACCTCTCAGGGAGTGTCAGGGGTTGGTTCTGGGGACTCTTCAGCCGAGAGCCTGGGTGGTCAATCCCTCTTGGCTCAGTAGGGACGAAAGAGGCCCTGGAACGGTTTCATAAGGGCTTAGGGTTTAGGGTTTAGGGTTTTTTTTCCAAAGTGCAGTAGGGTTCAGGGTTTTGGGTTTAGGTTTTAGAGGACCTGAGATGGTTTTTTATGAGTGCTCCATCAGGTTTGGAAACGGCTTTCGAAGATCCGGGGTTGCCGATCTACCTAGAGTAATCTTTCGAAGAGAAGGACATGGCTCCGATATGTGGGGACATCTCCTGCGCTTACAGGTGGCTATAGGCTACTGCAGGTGGACGTCTGGAGGAGAAGGGTCCTACGATGGGTTAGGGCTCCTGCGTATTGGTTCGAGAGTGCTGTTTCAACGCTTCTTCAGGGTTGAGGGTTAATAAGATCGCCCTTCATGGAAAGCGTGAATCAGCATCCTGTGGGTCGTGTAATTAGAGCCCATTTCGGGTCGCAAGAACTGAACGCCCAAACTGTAAAATCTTGGCACTCCGGTAAAGGGGGGGCTTACTACTCTAAGCCAGGCTTCCAAAAGCACAAGTCTCCGTACGAGTGTAGAGAGTATGAACCAAAAACCGAAAAACCACCCTCTACAATGTAGACCTTGATGAATACAAATAGGCTCCATGGTGGTTCTTTTTTGTGGTTTATAGTTAGGATCCGATAAGGTAATCCCAGAAAGGATCTACAATGTAGACCTTGGTGAATACGCCCTCTTTCAGGGTTCTGGATTTCAGCTTCCGCAGTGTAAGCCCGATTTAAGGGGATCTCTACATTGCTTGCGGCTTATCAAGGCACCTCTTAAACAGACTCTAACCCTATAGACCCTATAAACCCTAGACTCTAAACCGCTTTTGACCCTAAGACCTCAACCGCCGCCCGCGCTGACCCTTAAAACCCAAGTACCCCACCTAAGCCCTAAACCCTAAACCCCCTAAACCCTGAACCCTAAACCCCATGAAGCGCAGGCCCCGGCCAGGATAAACGGCCGCTTGTCGTTCTTGTACTTTCGCTCGCTGGAGATCTGGCAATTTGGGGCTCAGGGCTTTAGGGGTTAGGGTTTAGGGTACCATAGGGCTTAGGGGTTTTTAGGGTAAGAGCGTTTAGGACAAGGCCGGGGCCGAAAGCAAGTAGCATGGAGTTTCTGTTGTTCATCATAAGGGTGTTGATCGGGTTGGATTGGGTGTGTGTATGCGGCGAACTACAGGTGCCTGTACAATTAACGTAGGATTGGGTGAGTTATTCACTGGTATCACTGTATCCAATAATTACGATCTGGATTTTAGCTGCTTTATTCTGTGTCTATCCACAGGGTTTTAGGAGAGTTTTGCTTGGTTTTAAGAGGGATGTACGTAGGATTTGCCTCGGCGTTGCAATGCTTGCGGCTTTCCGTAGGGGATGAGGGCACGCAGCTCCGTCTTGGAGTGACAGCAACCCCAGGCCCCCGGGTGTGTCTCGTGGGCCTCGAGGTTCCTTCTTTCGGGATTGCGTAGCTTACAGGGCTTAGGGTTAAGGGTTTCCGGAACCGGGTTTCGGGTTTAGGGTTTCGGGTTAGAGTTTAGGGCTTAGGGTGTTGATGCCTAGAAGTCAAAGACAGTAACTAGCAAACGCAAGTATCGAGTTCATAGGCAACTCGCACGAATCAAACGCCCAGTGTGCACGTGTAAGGATGTGTATATATATATACACACACATACAGATAGGTAGACAGATCGATTGATAGATAGATAAGAAGATAGATAGGCAGATAGATAGATAGATAGATAGATAGACAGAAAGAGATATACAGTTATATAATGTACATCTGTTCGTCGGGAGCAGGACCCTTAAATCACATGATGCACAGCTTTGCACCCTCTCCCGCCTCGCCCAGTTCCCTGAAGCCCTGAACCCTCTGAAGGCTTTTTGTTTTGTTTTTTTGTTCTTTTTGTTTTTGCTGGTGGGGGTTCGCACCCTTGCAAAGACCGTACCGAGACCCTGCAGCGTACAGCTGACTCCACTCCACAGCGTGAACCGGTAAGACCAAAACCGTCACCTTAAACCCTAAACCTCTGGAAGTCTTGTCTTCTTCCGGACCCGCTTTTGCGACTGATCCCTCCGATATCTGAAATCGAACTTCTGAAGTGCTTGAGCCCTAAGCCCTAAAAGCCTGTTTGAGGTTCAGGGATTTGCCACCTGTAGGGAGGAAGCTACGTAGGGTTGAACTTGGGGGTCCCTCACTTTCTAACAACTCATCTAAGAGCTTTAGGTCCAGGGTTCAGGGGTTCAGAGCATGGAATATACAATATGTAGCTTCGCGTCTATAAAACTTAGTCTATAAATATACCATGTGTATATATATATATACCAGATGTATTTATATATATATACCATATATATATATACATACCAGATGTATGTATATATATAAATATATATATATATATACACCATATATATATATACCATATATATATATACACACCATATGTATACATATATATATATATGTCTTAGATAAGGGTATGCAGGCACTTAGGGATTACGGTCGAGTCTGGGGCATCGGACTCTTAGGTCCAAGGCTTCCAGGTTGAGGGCTTTTGTTCATGTTGTGTCGTAAGAGTATAGGGCTTAAGGTTTAGGGTTTAGGGTTTAAGGTTTAGGGTTTAGGGTTTAAGGTTTAGGGTGTAGGGTTTAGGGGATTATGTCCCTAAGCTCTCAAGCCCAAGCCCTAAAAAACCTAAGGCGATTATATCTCTTTCCGATTTTTTTGGACAGGCTACGATTTATGATCCAGGATCTGTAGCGACCCTCCGTTGATAAGAGAAAGGGGTGCAAGAGCTTCTGGGCTTTTGGGCTTCGGGTTTGGAGTGTGGTGTAAAAGGCTTGGTGATTTGGCGCATATAGGACAAATCTTGGGCCTGAAGAGTTTCGGATAGACTCACAACACCAAGCTGCTGGAGCACCGCACCCGACCCGAAGCCCTTGGTCGAACTCCGAAGCAACCCGCACACCGGCTTCTCCTATGTTCCTAAACCATTTCAACCCATTCTCTTCTCTAGGCCGAACCCCATACTCCCGAAACGCTCAGACTGCCTCGTTCACGGGCTTCCAGCGCTGGTAAGTGGGGATGACCACGAGGTACTCCTGTGGAGGTGAACCTCGGAAGTCTTGCATATTCGGGGGGCCAACAGGGTTCCCTAAAGCCTAGATCCTAACCCCTAAACTGGAGACAGACAAGCTCTGATGTTCAACCCTTAACTCGAAGCCCTGATCTCCTGAAGCCATGAACTCCTAGGGGCCTTAATGAGCAAAAGAGGGTTTTGCAGGCACAGTATGCTAAAGCTATGCAGGGACCGCAACGGAATACCATGACTACATATTCCGACTTCTCTGTTATGTGGAGAGATCGCAGGGTTACGGGTTTAGGCTTCGTCGCGTTTAGGGCTCGGAGAACTTCGGAGTCCAATGCAGGGCTCTCCTATTGTATATTCAA